TTTAAACACAAAAATCAAGAGAACGAGATCGTCCCGGTTTCGTCTAAATATCGTAAAAATATCGTTAAGGTAACCGCATTGTTAAGGAAGATGTGTGAAGAAGTTCATGAAAAAGAATTAAAAGAGAGCCATACAAAATAACGGAAAGTTGTTGTAATATATGTTTCGCGCCTTGAAATTCAGGGAATCCCAAAATACACAACACTCAATCCTGTACAATGAGCAGGAAAAACCGGTAAAAAGATTGCATCAATTAAGTCACATGTTCCATATTTCATTCTAATATAGTATATTCTTTACAAAAGAAAATTTTTTGACGGGGAAAATGCATAGTTCCCTTACACCAGAACCCATTTCCAGATAATAAGATTAGCAGCAGTCATTAGTAGAAATTTGTAAAATTTATTTGATCGATAAACATTAACCATGCCTATTGTTTTAATTATTTACCCAATCTGGAAAACAATGTAACTGAGAGTTGATCTCTCTATATGGAAAACAATCATGTAATTTTAAGTGTAACCATCGATTTAATATATGCAAGAGAGGATATTATCAAATTTACGTGAATCAGTTATGGAAATCTTGAAAATGATAATAAATGATTGGATTTTGACTTAATTTGACGTTTTCAAATAACGATCTCTTGGATTCATGACATTTTTTTTTCTTTGCCTTTGGTTTCCCGATTAAGTCAAGAATGCAATTGTCTAATTATTCATTAATAAAATGCATACTCGATCACTTACCAACGAATGTTCTTGGTAAATTCTTTCCAAATATTATACATGATTCTGATGTTTTTGTGAGTACACTCCGTCAGATGAAATTCATATTATCACCATAAATGGTCTACAGAAGATATTAAAGATACTTCGTCAATTAATAAACGTGCATGTGCATACAAATTTAAAGCAACGTTTTTATTGGTTGTACGTAAAGTCGCGGCCATGCGCCTTCGCCCAAAATAAAGTTACATCTTCCATGTCCATATATGCCAGCGTATAATCTACTTTACTAATATGTATGATAGTATATTCTTCAATTTTATGCATTTATGACAACGAGAAAATATTTATATACACCCATCACCCCGATTAAACTTCATTCTCTTATTCCTTCCTTTCTATTTTTTCCTTTCATATACGTACCTTCTTTCTTTCTTATTTCCACTATCCTTTTACCCTCTTTTCATACTCTTTAGTGGTATTCATTCTATTGCCCTATAAATCCATCTATACACGTGAAGCATACAATGTCATTTGTCACTAACAAGATTTCATTGATCCTCACCATTTTCTTGGTCATTCAGGTTGGTTTTTGTCAGATTGAATTGCAAAATTACATTTACCTTTCCAACCATTTTAATCCTTTCTTATACCAACATTCTTTCTCTTATTTTTATTAGACCGTTAATGTTTACGCAACCGATATATATAACGGTACCGCCTCCATCCCACCAAATGGTGGTGAATGGTATGCTTGTAGTGATTTTCCTACTACTTACATCAGTAAGCGCTATTTTAATAAAATGGAAGGTTTCATCAAAGTTATAAAACGTCGAGTAACTTTTTGCATTGTGTAGGTTTTTCCGTAAGCGTCTCCAACACTTCGCTAAATGTAACCCCTAACTTTATCGGCACCACTGTGCCCGGAAAGAATTCGAACACTTCCACACCCAAATATTTACCAGGCGTGCTTGCCTACCAAATGACCAAAGATAACATCAAAATATTTACCGATCACAACACTAGTTCTACCTTTAATTATATCCCTTCCCTTTCTTGCTATGAAAAACCAGTACAATCATGTGATCAAGATGTTGGAGACTTGCCGTTGTCAGATAATGTCTTACAATGTTTAGCTTTGGAAAACCCTACTGGAAAGACCGTTTACTTTCATATCCTTTTGAGCTTCAATAAGACGGTGTTTCAAAATAATACTTTCACAAGTCCAGATGTTCCCGGTGGTCATGAATCGATTAATAATAATAATACGACACAGAAGAGTGGCAGCAACGGTTTAAAGTCGATGAGTGGTCATGGATTCATGCAAATGGTGGTTGTTACACTGATGGTTCTTGGGTTTAGTAAGTTGGTGACCCTATAAGTTTTCTCCCGTGAAAATACATAAGGGAACCGCGATTTAATTCTTACTAAGCTGCAGATTACTTAAGGTCATCTTCAGTGAAAACTTTTTTTGTAATTTATGAATAGTAATGTAATGAATTTGTAACTTTGTACTTTTCTACCACCACTTTATTAAATTATAAATTTCGTGTAAAGGTTAATATAACCGTTTTATAATGTACAATATATAAACTGATATATGGTGATTCCTTGCTTATTTTCAATTACTAGTACAGTGATATTTTATTAAATAAAAGTCCAACCGATTAACAGTTGTTAAATAGTTCTAGATAAATGATCTTTAGTAAATTTGTATTGGTTGGAATTTGTTTTGTAAAAGAACTTATTTTAAATAAAATTATTAAAGAATACGACAGTATTTTTTATTAAATTTCCTTTAAAAATACACACTCATTATTTATTTTATTTAAAATAATTTATAGAATTAATTATACAATATATAAAAATTTATTTAATAGTTATAAATAGTCTTTAATTAAAAACATTTGTGGAATCAAAATAATATATATTTATATATATATTTGTAATCAAGCAAGTATATTCAGTATAAAAAAACTTTTTCTATTAACATTTCATATTTTTAAAATTGTTTTTTTTTTTGATAATTTGGATAATTATTTTTGAAGGCAGACCAGAAATTTTCTGACATAATCCTAAAATTTATATTATATATGTATTGTTTAAAAGTTGAATCCGAAAAAATCATATCTAGCATTTTTGTCACCTTCAAAAATAATTATCCATTTAAAAAAACTCAAAAAAAAAAAAAAAGAATTATATAAAGCCAAATATAAATATAATATGTTAATCAATATATTTGCTATTAACAACTCTTGTTTATCAAGTTTATGAGTTTTTCTTTCTTTTTTCTAAGTATAAATAAGGTATAGACATACAAAAAGATATATAACTGATCTTTTGAAAATGCTTTGTATCATGGGCAGAGATTGTTATCATATAGATTAGGATATCTCTTATGAAGTTTAAATCTTGTAAAAAGTTGATTAGTCATTAGTTTGATTCTGAAAATTAAGAGACTCATAAATTTTAATTAATTACTTTTCTATAGTTTCTTGTTAGCTTTGTAAATAAGTTTTAAGACAAGTCTTGAAAAGAATTTGCAAGTTGCCAATTGACTTAGTAAAATGTTGAGAAAATTAATATAGTAATTGATAAACTTGATCTATTTTTTTTTTTTTTTTTTTTATAAGGCACAAGTGCAGTGATCACTTCTTCTTTATTGATAAATTCCTTATATCAATTTTACAGTTGCAGTTAAGGACTCATACAAGTCAGTACATTATAT